CGTAGAAACTCGGGGAAAATCGAGGGGGAAACCGCTGATAAAAATCTTGTACACCAATACCCACTAATGCCCAGTAGGCATTACTTAATTTTATTATCTTATTTTATCTTTATAATGCCCCAGCAAGGCGTAATGCCCAAACTAATGCCCAAAAAATGCCTAGCAATGCCCAGTAATGCTGCAAATTTGTACACCATGGCACAATGCCCTCGGCGGTTTCCCCGGTTGTTTTCGCTACGGACCAACGACTGAACGCTGGACTATTCAAATATCCGCCTGGTCGCCGCGGCACGGCGAAAAGTTTGTCGAAATTGGCGAGGCCGGATTTAGGAAGCGATTACTCACGACGGAATTTACTCGGCCGGAAAACAATGTTCTAAATTTACGCGACAGGTTACGATTTCCTCGTTGACTGCCGTCGAAGCCGGAGTCACCGTCGTCGGCCGCGTTACGCTCACTCGCGAGATTAGATCACACCCTTTCGAAATAACACGAGATAAATAACAGCGTTTTATTTGTCAGCGATGTGCCTCGCGATAAATACATCGTAGAAAGAACGCACGGATTGAATGATTCGAGTGTTTAACACAAAAAGATACAGAACAAATAGAGGTCGGATGAACGGCCACATTTTTATTCGAGCCTTCCGCCTGTCGTTAAAAAAAAATAAAGATCGGAGGAAGCGCCGACGAATAACGGGCCCGGCATTCTCGGGAAGAGCCGCGAGACAATTCATGGTTTTCGGCCGATGACAACCAGGGGAACTCGCCCAACGGAGTCTCGACGAAAGATTTTCTCCCGAGTTTCTTACACGCTTCTTCGTCATCTTCCGAACGGCGATGGCCCTGTCGCGAATAGACCTGTCGCGACCAGCGACATTTTAGCGTTTCAAAGAATATTATTCTCAAATATACTCTTTTTCTTCGTACGTTTTTCGCGCACAAAAGCAACTATCCGTCGTCAGCTGCGACGTTTTAGCTATAACCAATCGTTCAAACATTGACAGAGCTCTAACTTCCATACGACTTCATATATACTTATGAGTTTTCACTGAGCCCTGAACAAATAAACGCTCCCGATGTCCCCGTACGCGGAACTATAACGAGCTACCTTGCCGCATGAGAAAGCCGAGAAGCTCGTGGAAAGGGAGACGTCGGACAGACGGTCGCGAGAATAATAATTCCGTCAGCCGCGCTCGTTCCACTCGCTCCCTCGACGGCGTGACTTCACACCTTCCTCGTGCCTCATAATTCGTGCCACGTCTCGTATCGCCTGCCCGAAGAAGCGTTCTCTTTCCGCGGTAAATCAAAAATACCCCTCGGGGACGGGGCTCGTACGAATTTGCATCAACAACTTTGTCTCTCCCGCTCTTTCTTCTGCCTCCCGCGCGGGACTCGGCGAAATATTTTGTTATAAGAGGAAGGCTGTTTTTCTCGCATTAGCGAATGTTAGCTCGTGATATATAAATTGTAGTTGTAAGCTTACCGGGCGTAACTTGAGCGGTACGCGAGTTAACCAACCTATGCACGATACGCATTCCGCGGACGCGTGCGTGCGGGTCGCCATCGCGCGCAACGCAGCTCTCTCTTTCCATCTCTCTCTCTCTCTCTTTCTTTCTTGCGTTACTATTTATACGTACGACCGGGCTAATTCCTTTTCCCTCGCGTTCATTTCCGATCGGAGAGAAGAGTCGCCACGAGCGACGGTACAGCATTTAAGGTGTTTTCGATCAGCAACAGCCGTGTTTCCCAACATTTGACAGCGAGAGATAACGCTGCTATTGCACGCATCTACCACGTAAAGTGCCTGTGAGCTAATTAGCTAGATAATCCGAGAATAATGCCGTCTGTCCACGCACGAGGGCAAACAAGCGCGAGTTAAAGCATAATCTGCAATGTACTCTCTGCGTCTAGAAACGTTCTACTTTATAGTAAATAAAAAAAATTGTGCAAGTTGACAAATTACATTGTACAATCGTGGTTATCGATAAATTTTTTTAAGCGTTTTGATTTGTTTGTAATAAGATAGAATGTTCTAGATGCAGAAAACACATTGTAGATTAGGCAGGGTTGGGAAAGCCAATTTATAAAAGTATCTAGTTACAGTTGCAGTTTTTCTCGCTAAAAATTTAACCAGTTACAGTTACTCAAAAAGTAACGAATCGTTATTTTGCAGCTACTTTCTTGCCATAAAAATGAAAATATCAAATCTGCATTTGAATTGTAAAGTGTCGATGAAGGCATTTTGTGCAAATGCAAGGCCTAACGCGATCTGTGGAGGTTTAAAAAAATATATAAAGTAACCATTAATGTAACTGAGTTAAATTACAGTTACAGACGGAAAGAAAGTAACGAAGCCTAGAGTTACCAAAAAAAAAGTAACTGTAACTCAGGGTGTCCAGCAAACTCAATGAAAAAAATTCCCTGACTTTTTCAGGTTTTCCCGAAGGCGGAATTAATTTTTCCCTGACCGTTCAGTGCAACTTTTTTCAAGATGCATAATTTGCGTACATCTGTATGGTAAATAAAGTAAATGTTAAATGACGAAGTCCTTGAAATATTTTTCTCGGGAAACAAAAGTCCCGAATTTAAAAAGGTAAAAATTTAAATTAAAGCAATTATACCATCTATGTATAATATATTGTGTAATAGGAACGAACTTATCATTACAAACCATTCGAACCATTTGTGATACCGTACGTAAATCATACACGATGCTTTCGTTTTGCTTAACTGCATTTTGTTTGTAACTTACTAGATAGTAACGTACTTAGAACTTTATCTTTTTTTATAGTTTTGTCTCAGTTGAACACATTGAAATAAAATAACACGACGATGAAAATATAAATTACCGACCGCGCTTATAAATAAATTGATGTTTAGCGAAACAGAAAATTAGTGTACTGAGAGCCAAAGAAAAGTTTATTTTCTAAACACTTTAAATTATTCAGAAAAATGTGAAACGATGTAAAAAATTCAGATGAATGAAAATTTCCTGACTTTTCCCTGACATTTCCCGATTTCTAAAATCCCCCGACAATTCCCGGTTTTCCAGATTTCCCTGACCACTGGTCACCCTGTAATTTCGTTACAAGTAACGAGTTACTTCCCAACCCTGAGGTTAAGAAGATCGCGGGACGAAGAGACCGCGCTTACGGAAACAAACAATATCCATCGAAGGTGCCGCTCGTCCGCTGCGTTGGATTCTCAATCAAGTTCTGGGCGCAACAAATTACGCGTTTGATGATTCCCTCGGAGAGGAGTCGATAAGATTTCGGAGGGATTCCTCCGCGGCGCGCGAGATAGATTCGTACGCGGAGCCGCGATTTCGTTCGCGGTCGGAAGGATCGGGAGGGATCTCGCTCCCTTACGGGGCACCATAAAGATTTATATTTAGAAAAACCTGACGCGACAAAGAGCCCTGCTCTTTCAGCGTGTCCCAGATAAATCTTCAGGTATATGTCGCGTCGCGTTCGCGCACTCGCGACCACTTAGCATTAAATTATAAAAATAAATCAATGAATCATCTCAGGGTGGTGGAGTGGAGGAAAGAGAGAGAGTTGTAGCGGCTGCACGGGAGATGAACGAGATCCCGGCGCGCCGAGTTATCTCGCGGTGCGCGCGCGGTTCGTTAACGACACCGTCGATTAAGTGTCGCGCGGCGAAAGCTTGTTTCATTCGTGCGAGGACGAGCCGAGGGGAGGGTGCGGTCCGGGCAAAAGTATCAGCGATTCGATATATTATATCAGGGGGAATTAAAGAAATTAAGGAGCGGACGGGCCCGAAGCGACGCGCGTCCCTTCGACATACGGCAAGTATATAAATTAACGCGAGGCTGGTCGCGCGGGAGTTTCATTAATTCGACTGGATAATAATAGGTATCCGTGAGGTCTGCGCCACCAGGTCGTTACGATTAGGCGAGTCATCGTGGCTTTCTATAAATAACGGGCGGAGACAGACATCGCCAGGGGGTGGAAAGGGAAACGCGAGAGGGCGGAGAGAGAGAGAGAGAGGCAGCTAGTAATCTCGGTTGTTTCACCACCGTCGCCGTTCATGGTGTCTCGGGCGTCTCCGGGGAAACGAAAAGGTGGTCGACGTTCGAGCAACACATGTCCCGAATGTGTTCCGGACACAGTGGCACGAGGGGACGAAAGAAAAATAGGGCGGTCCATCGAGATGGTGGCCGTGAAGCGTTCGAAATTACCTGCGAGATGACTATTCACGCGACTGCTTCGGTACGAAACGGGAGAACATCTCCACGAGATGCATTCTCTCGTTCGAGCATTCGGCTCTCGATTCCGAGGGAGTCCGATGTTTTCGATCAGTCTTCGCTTATCTTCTATCTTATCTGGAATTCCTTATGGTTCTCAGTTACCTACGTGAAGAAGCGTTAAATTGATTTCCGTTCGGACAGTGGCCGAAAAGCGAAGATTCCGTCCGAGCGTACGCGCGGCGCATCTCGGAATGGCGCGAAAACCGCGGCCGCGTGCGCACGTGTGCGTAAAGAGTAGCGCACGCACGACGCGACGACGCAGCGCGCGACGCGATGCAACGGCGAGGCGCGCGAGCGGCGGGAGGATAGGACACGAGAGGGGAGGAAAGAGGAGAGGAGGACGCGCGCGGAGGAGACGCGCGGCGTTAGAAAGGGAACGAGAGGGAAGGTGCCGTCAGAATGGTAGTGGGGTTCCGAGTTTCGCCGGCGATCTCGGCACTCGGCGGCATCCGTCGTAGTGGGGAAGACTAACCCACGAGGGGTTGCGGAGGGAACGAGCGTGGACGAGCGGTTATTTCAAGCGACGGCTCTTCTGGCACTTCGCCCCGAGCTTTCCTCGTGCACATCCTCCTCTCGGTGTAGTGCTGGGCTACGAGTAGTGGCGCGTATCGTCAGTGTCGCGACGTCGCAGCCTCGGCGAGACCGAAAGAGAGAGAGAGAAACCGTCAATCAGAAAGCAAGGAACATTGTGTTCGCCGAAACGTCGCCGACCGATCGGCAGATCGAACAATTTTGTCGCGTTTACCGATAGTTTTCGAGAGCAACCGCGAAACCGCTGTGACACTCGCAGTGACAAGGGACCGAAGAGCTTTCCGAGGGTGACAGACACGGTGCGTCAGGTGAACGGACCCTTTTGTGTTCGGTGACGGGATTGAGAGAGTCGCGGATAAGGCGGCAATTTTCCGAGAAATCCGCCGGGAGAGCCGAAGGATATGAAACGCGCGTGAAAAAGAGGAGCCAAGGAGGATCTCCTGTAACGACGACGCGCCGGCCTGAAATAACAGCGGGAATGCGCGCACAGTGAATCAGCTCTCGTTCGTTCCGCAGCGGACGCGAACTCTCCTCTCGGCAGTGACTCCAGCGCACGCATTTCCTCGCCCCCAGCCCTCCCACCTCTCTCGTCCTCAACCCTTTCTCGGTCAACGCGGTGCATCGTCGGGTGCGGTGTTCGCGATCGGCGCCGGTGTCCGTCAGGGTGAGAAAGAGAGAACCGGGGGAGCTTCCTGAGAGCGGATTGAGAAAAGCCAGAAGCGCCAGAGGCATCGCGCAGGCAGGAGCCGCAGCCGAAGGAGGGGCCGAGGGGAGTTTTCGGGACGCTGTCGAAGGAGTTTTCTCGGAAAAGAGATCGCGAGCGTCGCAATATAGTGAGTACGCAGCCTCCTCCATACTTAGAGATAAAACTGCAGACACGAGGCGAGAATGGACAGACGTCCGTCGTGAGAATTCGCGAGGTCGAGTCGAACGCGTCTTTCAACGTCGGATAAAAATTTATTGTTGGCGAGAGATTCGCCGTCAATTAAAACGCGTCACTGAATCTATTTCGCCAGATATCTTGGCCCTCCAATTATTAAATCGCTGTTTCTAGTAGAAATACGTGTCGCTCTGTCCACTCAGAAAATCGAAATATTAGGACGAAAGGTTGTGTGACGATATCTACTTATGTCTTTTATAAATGAGATAAATAGACGAAACGATAACGCGATCGATTCGACGATGAAAACGCACGTAAACGTGTACAGCTACATCGCGAAAACGTATTACGTATCACCGTCGGAAGTAGCTGTGGGACCGGGACGATGACGCGCGCGATGTATCGATAAGCTACGCGAGAGGTTTTGCTCGCGTGCGTGCACGCGCGCGGGAAGACATCGTTCGGGAATGCAACTTTAATTGGTATTGCCTCGTTGGTCGATTAAAGCGGACTCGTGCCATTTATTTCCCCGATGCGTTCGATCGCGGGCCTCCAGGATGGAAATTTACCATCCTGGTGGGGCGCTCCTTCTGCACGACGGTACCGAACGGCGGGTGCGTTAAAAGTGTATTTTAGATCCCGGACGAGCGGCATCTTTTCCGATAACGCGAAATGGCGAATGTACGCCGAGGTACACGTTAAACGTATCCACGACGAACTAACGCGACGTAGTAAAATCGTCAAGATAAGAGTCGCTGATGAAATAATTAAACAGCTCTGTAAACCTTAACCTTGGGCGGCGAAACGAGGATTTAATCGCCCGTCCCTCTTCGTTTTATTCATTATTGTGGAGTCCTTCTTCGTGTCGGGGTTGGTAATGAGAGAGCGCGCGCAGGTAACGATTAAGAAACGCGGCGAGGTGATCGGTTAATTAACCGGCTAATTAATTTAGAGCGAAAGGAGATCCCACCGCGATACCGCTGCCGCAACTTCTCTTCGTCACTCTCGTCGCGCTTCGAAGGTGCGCGGCCGGATCGCGAAGGTGGCGTTGAATAAAAATCGACTTTACGCTGGCTAAAGAACAAAGGTTAAATTCGACTCGCATTCTACCGGCTGCGAGACACCGGCCAAGTTTACCCCCTACGCGTCCCTCGGCCAGACCAGGCCGAGGCTTATTTAGCAGGCGGGAGAAAGGGGAGGTAATTTATTCCGGCTTTACTTAATCTCTTCCCTCGCGTGTCTCGACGGCGCGGCCGAGTCTTCTTTTAATCCAAATTCCAGATCGGTAAAGGGAACGCGGGCGCGCGCGCGCGCAGACGCGACACTAGAAACGCGCGTCCGCGTTGAATCTCTCGGCGGTGAGTCAGAATATCGTGGAGAGTAAATCGCTCGCGACTCGGCGATCGTTTGCCACGCTTCTGGCTACGCCGCGCCAGGCATTTCGTAGAGTAATGGCGCTTCGGAGCGCTTAATCTCCGGCTAAGACCAAGTCGCTCGACTAAAGTTGTCGCGGAGCGTCGAGAGAAACGCGCTCGAACCTCAGAGATGTCCCGGGGATACCTTCCCTCGCCGCTTGACTCGGGCACCAAAATAATCGTCGGTTTTAACGCGCGGCGCTTTTTCTTAAATTACACCTAAACCCGGCACGCGAGATGGACTGGAAGTGCCCGCGGAGAGATTGTCTCGAGCGAATCATCAAGCGAGCAACTGCGTTCGCTTCCGGTGTTTACACGAGCAAAACGCCGCCGGGCCGAGCAGGTCCGGCGCGAACGATAATATACACGCTCCAGATGAATTACACGCGCGGTTTCTCTGCCTCCCGTATTGTCCGCGATCGCGTGGCACGCATGAGTCTTCCTCGCATCCGGTGACATCCAGCCGGGTCTCTCTTGCGAAATTGCTGATTAACGTCTCTCTCCGGGACAAGATTCAGACGTTTCACCGAACCCCCAAACGGTTATCGGTTTCGCGCAAATAACCGTTTGACGTGCAGTCTAGTCTTGTAAACTTTCCAAGATCTTTCCAAAACATTCTCACAGGTTGTGCTATTGAATTTACAAATCCTCGATCTGAATATCTCTTCGCTAAAGACCGAGCAAAAGTGCACGTTCGTAGGGCTCTCTTAAATACTTCTGTATGGCTGACAATGAGCGAGCGTGACCTGGGCATATAACCGCAACAAAAATCGGAGCTCTGACTGGCGTCTTCTCAATGCGAGCGTCCTCGATCGGTGCAACAACTGTGCAACATGTGTACAGTGCGGCGCATTGTATTTCCTCGGTCCTTCGTCCTTTCGATTCTTTCCTGCGCACTCCGCCGTGAGCAGGAACGCGTTCAAGTGCCCCACGAAAAATTTATTTCATGCGAATGCGAAACGAGAGAGCGAGACGGGAGATTCGGAAATCGAGCGAGAGAGAGAGAGAGAGAGAGAGGACGGGCGGGTGGACGATCGAGGCGGGAGGCAGGATTGAAATTGCAAGTAAGCTCATAAGAAGCGAGCTACGATTTATTTGACGCGTCGCGCCGACCGCGGGCGAGCTAGAGTGGTTTATTTTATAAGACCAGATTGCTGGCCTCGCTCCGCCGGAATAGAATAATGAACGTTTCTCTCCATCCTTCGTAGTACAGCCTCCTCCTTCTCTCCTCCGCCGTCCGAACGCGGAATCCTCTCCCCTCCCCGCCCTTTCCACCCTTCCTCACGAAAGTCGAGTGTCGTTCAAGAACGCTCTTCGTATTGGATCACGTGATCACCGGCTCCCTTTCTCGAGCGAGCGTGGATTAAATCGCAACTTTTTCTTCCGTCGAGCGTAACGCGACAGGAAGAAATTCATAGAGTCTAGACGATTCGGCGACTTTGTTATTTTGCAATATGGATCCTTATCTCAGGATACCTCGCAATTTATAGATCCTTGTATTCGAATGTGCTCGGACGGAAAACTACATAATTCGGGACGAGGGCGAGACCGTTCGCCGGCCGGTTTCGTCCCTCGCAATCGCCGCGGCTTATCGATTCGTCGCGCGATCGAATTAACGATAACGACCGTTAAAAGCGAGTTACATAGTTAATCCTTCGCGCACAGATCGCACCGCTAAATCGCTCGGTGAAACCAGGACGAGGAGACGGTACCCAATTACGTTCGACATGGAGAATTCCAAGTAAGGACTTACCGGTCGGTGGAGCGATGATTCTTTCGGCGCCGTCCGTCGACCCGCGTCGGAAGACCGGCCAAGCACGAGAGATCTTAGCCGGACGTGGCACTTGTTCCGATTTCTTGTTCCGCATCGGACTTTCTGTCAGAGCCTGAAAGCAAAAAGCCTATGATTACGGCGCGATCATAGATAATTACAGTCCACTGTTAAAGACTCAATGATATTGTTACTTCTATCACGGTAGTGAAATTTACTATTTCAACACAAATTCTAGTTTAAAAAGCATCCTTTCGTTAAACCTATTTTCTGGTTTCTCACAACTCGGTTGTTTATTAATTTAATTAACGACATATTGAATAGGGGCGGTGGCGGCTACTCATCGAGTGCAAGCTAATAGTGTTGATATATTTGATCACTAATGTGATCACCAGTTAATTAAATCGCACGATTTAAACGGCTCGATCATTGCGAAACGTAAAAACGATCGAGTTTTATTGGTGACGAACAGTCGATACTGGACACTCGAAGGTTCAACGAAACAGCGAAAATTGGTTGAAAAAAAAATGGACAATTTTAAACGCGGATAAATATTGCTTTTCACGCGTTAATATATCCCTCCGACTCTTTGACGCGCATCGCGGCGCATTATGAGATTCGCCATGGCCGCTGATGTACCGGCGTTGCCGCGAAATTTATTAATAACCGCCAGACACGCGCGCGTACGTATTTATATATTTACGAAGGCGCAGGCACTGCCTTCGAAATGGATTCCGAGAAGAAAAACTCTGCCTACGCGCGCGCGGCTTTACGCCGATTAAACAACGGCGTCGGGCGCGCTGCGCGCGTTACAAAGTTTTTGCAATAGAATGCCTCGGATATGGCGAGCGTTAAAGTGGCATGTGCAATGAGTATAAATCACGCGCCGGCCTGTGTCAAACGTGGGCCATCGGTGCCGTTATATGAAGTACGACGGTATTGCGAAAACAGTCTATTAAGAGAGAACGAGGCGTGATCGGAGCTTGTCGTCTACGCGGAATCACGAGATTCGAGATGACAAATGGTGCACGCGAGTCCATCAAGACTGTCCCCTTTAGCTCCTAAAGTCTCGCGTCGCCACCGGCAGGAATCCTCCAATGGATTTTATCCTTTTGCCACTGCGTGCATTTGACAAAAAGAAATATTATATATTTACCAACCGATATCCCAAATGTGAACAAAAAAGGGCACATTGAATCTCCCGAGGCCGGCGAAGTTTTCTCCGCGACGAGTCCAACGAGCCCGAGCGATAGCGCGCCCGGCACGAAATTAGCATCGAAATATCCGCCTTAGCCGCCGAACCAGCAACGATGTTATCCCCGAGTGCGTCCGTTCCGGTCGAACTCGGGCGACTGCGAGAGATCGAATTGTCAGAAGCGGCGCGTATAAATTCGTCACGTTCGCTCGTGGTTACCCGACTTAACCGACTGCTGATTTTTTTTTTCTTCAAAGCCGCAGCCGCCTCGCCATCGCCATCGGGACCGCGAGATCGTCCCGCGTTTGCATACATTTCCGCCTTCGGCAATCGTGTAACGTTTCGCACCTTCGACCCACGCTCGCTTCCAGCCGATCGCTGTTTTTGGTGACACGCACTGCGGTTATCTAACGGAGCTATTTTATTTAAACTGGCCGACGTCGTCGGCGATAAATATCTCAACGCTATTTGCGTATACTCGACGATTAGAGAAACATCCCTAAATTTCCGAGTTTTCCGTTTATCTCTACACGACTCGCTGGAATGATGCAACCACAGGTTATTTCGATGCTGGTGGAAATCGTGAGTCGCAACAGAACTTCAACCACGGATAAAAAGGAAACTGTACAATGTTTCTGCGATTCAGCTTGGGAGGAAGTGCGATAACAAAGTAACTTTAATACACGCTTATTACACATCAACAGCAAGATACCTGTATATATCGCAGATAAATTTCGTGAGCCGCCATAATTATATACAAGTCAATATTTATGACAGCCAAGTGGCTTATAGATGAGACCGATTGCCGCGTATATGCGCTACCGATTTATCGGCTGGAATCTGAATTCACTAATTGCCGTGCTCGCTGCACGTAATGTTTCGTGTAAGACAAAACGACTCTATTCGCGGCACTGGATAATACATCGCGTAACAGCGAAAGAATAGACCGCCAGAAGCTTAATGAGTCGTCCTCCCCCGCGAGCTACCGAAGGGAGGCAAAGTGCCGCTCTCATTTTATACTCGAAGAGTCACGCATCGTCTTGATTAAAAAAAAAAAGCATAAGGAGACGGGAAGGAATCTTAATAGAAATACACACGAATCGGCCGGATACTTATTAATGCCTGTTAATTAAATTAATTAATTTTCTTTTTAGAAACGCGAAGTGAGGATTATTTCGCCGCCGGAAGATCAGAGATAGAAACAATAATTATCATTCTGCGTGCACGAACTCGCGGAGCTGTATATAAATACGCGATACCGGATACAGCGGAGTGCTCTGGGAAAAGAAAGACAGTTAGCAACCCATTTTGGGGCCCACGATTAGTAATCGAATTATTTGGATTGTTCGTAACACTCTAATCTTTTACCCCGCGTAACTAAAAATCGCAATTGGCTGTTCTATCTGCGTCCAAGATTTTTAAGTAATACTAATCAATTCACTCAATTAGTTCTATCGACATTCAGTAGCGCAAAGATAATTTTCACTCAAGAGGCACTAACCGAAATATTAAGTCGCCTAACTACCAAAAAAACGGTCAAAAATTTGCCCAGAGTCGAGTTACGAACAATCCAAATAATTCCATTACTAATTGTGGGTCCTAAAATGGGTTGCTGTCTTTTTTTCCCCCTAGCGTACGGAGGTTTCGGGCCTCCACTAGACACCGGCGAGGAGTGTCGGGAGTTGCGCGCTTCCGCTTGTCGACAGGTAGTTGTTCGGCGAACGCTCCTCTCTCTCTCTCCCTGATAGAGAACGATAGGAGACGAGAAGACGAGAAGCGCTACAAGGGCACCGCTAACGAGACGGGGAGATTATACACGGGACCACGGGCGGAGAGACTGTTACGACGTAACAGGTTATTTGTTCAACGCGGTTCATCGCGCCGTCCGCTCGGTGGTTGAGAAGAACGGACGAGGGATGGGGAGATGAGAGCGCGCGGAACTCTCCTCTCGATACTTTTCATCGACAGGTGGACCCTGTCGGGGTTTTACGCGCCGGCTGCGCACGAGACGCGTGCCACGGGTGACGATTCGACGATACAGGCTCTGGCCGCCCTCCCTCGTTTCTTCCTCGTGCCTCTTGCTCCCGCGCGTTTCGGCCTAACCGTCGTTCGCCCCCGATCACGCAGGCTGAACGCGTAAACCGGCAAAACCGCCGCAAAAGCGCCGAACGACCGCGGCGAGTCGCGCGATTACGCGCGAGAGAACGGGAGGATAAATCGCGAATTTCGCCCGCTGGGCATCTCGCGGCGATCGGATACGTTTATAGCGCGTTCGATTTATCGGCGTGAACTCCGGAGAAATTGAGCGGAGGTCGGAAACCTCCGATATTTCTCCGTCGCGTTTGCTTAACGAGCTCACGTCGTAAAATCCATTGTAGCCGGTTATTCAAAGGACATTTATCGTGGATGCGCGATAAATCGTGGAACCTTTGTCAGCGCGACGGTGGCGGGATGGATGGAGGCAGGCAGGCCTTATGCACCTACTCTACGGGGGCTGATAATGCGAGTCCCTAATAGGTTGACCACATAATAATACCGGCCGCGCGCGGCTGCGCGGAGTGCCGCGATTAAGAGAGCGCGGACGGCTCTCCGGTCCCACGTCCCGTTTTCTTCGAGCCTTAAGTGGTCGCGTGAAAAAGAGCTAGGTAGGCATTTAGGATCGAGCGTCAGGCGCAAGAAGACCGAGTGGCTGAAAGTCGAGATGGAAAATGGAGAGCGGACCAGAGTGTCTGACAAGAAAAATCCCGAGATGACGCGAAACGATAATTTACGTAATTGTATCAATATAGTAACGTGTTTAGTTTGTATGATCGTTCCTTAAAAGCGAGCGCGTCGTAATATCCATATGGATACACGCGAGGAATCGACGTCGAGCGTTGTAACGTTCCAAAGGTTCCGACGAATCTCAAGGAAAAGAAAGGGGCTCATCAATCTCTGGACCTCGTTGCGCTTGTTCCGCCAATTACGTTACGACAATGCGACGTGGTTCGCGGACGGTAAACAAAAGGGGGGCCTGCACCGCTACTTGTCTGCAGCGCTTCCTAGAATGCATCACGAGGGGAGCGCGCGAGCTAAAAGCCCAAGAAGAAGACATCTGCGCGCGAGCACGACGTCAAGTCTCCGGTGGTCCGTTGTTCGAGAAATGTTGATTTGCCAAATTTTATTGCGGCTGCACGTAACGAAATTATAAGTTTCTCTAGGCGCGCGCGTTTGTCGCGAGGAAAACGCTACACGTCCGCTAACGCTCACGTTCAGCTGCGTTGAATGGCGAGCATTACGAGCGTAATTTCATACGGTACAAAGTAATGCGATAAACGATAATGGAACGACTCGCGCTAAGCTTTGAGCGATTAAGGTACTAATTTATACGATGTAAGACCGTTTTCGCGATTTGCCCGCGGAAACAACGTGATCCATCGCTCCGCACACAATGTTTCCTAAAGTGATAAAGCGCGTAACGTCGGCCATTAATCATCATTACCGGGCGTAATGATCGCCGGTGGAAGTCGTTGCCACGAAATAACGAGACCGTTCTGCTCCGGAGATCGTGCCTTTCCCTAATCTCGATCGGCCATTGAATAACACGGCACGACTACCAGATTTTTCTTCCTAAACGAGGATCTCCGCGTCCGCGGCTTAGCGCGACGTGAGATTTTATCGGCGGCGAGGCCGGAGAAGGGTCTGAACCGTGTCACGAGCGCGCGTTGTGCCTCTTCCCTTCGGGGTGGTATGCGCGAGGGAATCATTATCCATCGTCGCGCGACGCGAGGTCCGTCGATCGACTCGACGGTAAGCGATCGGTAAATTGTACGGCGGTCTCTCGGCGGCAATTAACATTGGCGCGTATCTCTTCCGAGAATCTCTCGACGAAAGTCCTACATTAACCGTTTAAGCGAGACGATCGCGCGAGAGACATCTCT